TTAAATTATTAATTTTTAATTAAAAAATTTTTAGGTTAACTATCAGGTTATCTAATATGTCAAGTCAAATTTAAAGCTTTAATTAATATAAATAAAACTAAAATGTAATATATATTAGTAGATTAAGGTATCACATAAAACGTTAATGTTAATTATTAAAGAATTATGAATGTGAAAATTTATTGGTAATTTGTTTAATTATGAAAATTAATAGTGTATTAATAATAATATCATTCATATGAGAAATATGATGAAGAGATATTATTGTATAATGACAGGCTTCATAAATATTATAATAATTATTCACATTTAAAATATATAAAAATTCAATCTATAAAAATATAAATTAATTATTAAATATTAAAATTTAATTATAAAATTATTAATTAATTAAATATATATATATAATTTTAAAAATATTTCAAAAATTTTTTACTATGATCATCTTTAATCTTTACTTTTGTTTGATTAATTATTTTAAAAGTAATTAAAGCTTTCATATTTAATAAAATATTTCTTTTTTATTTGAATAATTCTAAATATTGAAAAAATAAACTAATATTATATTAAGTAAATTATTTATTTATTATAAAAAGAAGTAAAATACTACAATTTGACCTTTACTGATAATATTAATTTTTTCACATTTTTTAGTCAAATTTGTTGATTGATATAACATTAAAAAATTGATATAACTTAGACTCTTAAATACTAATTATATTAAGAAAATCTTTAAAATTTTATATTCCATTACCATTTTGATAATATTGCAGACAATACAAAATATTAATTATTTTTTTATCACTTTGAAATAATAAAAAAAACTTTGATATTTTTAAAATAAAAATAATATATAATTTTATTATATTCAAAATATATTTTTTAAAAAATACTTTATAAAATTTTTAATTTCTAATAAATTAAACTATATTGATTAATTACTAAAGTTTTGTTAATTTTTTTTAATTTTTTTAATTTTATTAATAATAAAATTAAAACAGTAAAAAAATTAATCAAATAAAAGAATACTATTAAAACATAATTTCTGAAAATAGTTACTATTAACTTTGAAATAAAAAAAAAGAAAAGTTAAGTCTAATAATAAAATATCTAATACATATTTAATTATCTATTATTATTATAACTAATCTATAAAAATAATCATATTTACATTATTTAAATATAAATAATTAATCTTTTAAAATATCAAAACATCTTTGCATTTCATTTACTAATTGTTTTCTTACGTGTAAAATTTATTTATATAAAAAATCTAATTCAGATTAATTTGATTTATTGCTATTCAAAAATATTTATAGATATAGAAATATGGATGCTTCTTAAAATTTAAGGTTGAGATTGAACTTATATTAAAACTCTTTATAATATTATATTAAGTGGTAACTTAGTATATTGCTTTTACTTTATTTTGTTATTTAGTTTTATTACTGGATTTCTTAAAATAATATATATAACATTTATAATAAAGAAAATCTCTTTCATATAATAAATTTTTACTTTAGGTTATACATTATTCTGAGTTGTTTAGTAATTTTTCAATATATAGGAGGCGATTAATAAAAAAGGGTAAAATTTACAAATTTTAAGTAATTTTATTTATTAAGATAATTTGTTTATATGATTATGATCAGAGAGTGAAATAATAAAAAAATTTTTGACTATAAAATAGATTTTTTTTTTACTGATTGCCTTCTATATTTTCTCTATTTTATCAAAAATAAGCTATCACATTTGATACATTTTAAGTTTTTATTTTCTTTATCTATATATTATATCTATTGAATATTGAGATTAATTACTTTAATGTAAGATTAAAAAGTATAATATAGTATTTTAATTATTAATTATAAAATTCTTAAAAAAAAAATTTAATAATTAAAAATTTATAGTATAATGAGTTTACCTTTTCTGATTTTTATTTATATAATAAAATATAATTAATTTTGATTAGCTGAATTTAGAATGATCCTTATACTAAGATTACCATTAATATAATAATAAATATTATTTTAATACTATTTATTATATTTTGCTTAGAAAAATTAGATTCTAAAAAATTTTTTAACAAAATTTTGATCTTTATTATATATTAGTTTTTGATATTATTAAATTAAATATAATATCTTAATTTTAGTTAAAAAAATTTTCAGAGTCTAATTTTTCTAATAAACTTCCTATATAAATAATTTTTATCTATAATGTTAATTAGCAATATTTTTTTAATTATATTTAATTAATAATAAATAATAAAAGATTTAAGTTAAAATTAATAAATATTAAATAATAATATATTTTTCATTAAGATAAATAAATAAAAATTTATAATTTATATATTATAAAGCAATTAGTCATTAGTTATTTATTAAAAGTTTAATTAAAGATTTAGACTTTAGTCAAAAGTTTAGTTAAACATAAAATTTAATAAAAGTTTAGTCATGATAAAAATATTTAGGGAGATATTACTATTAATTATATAATTCTTAGTTTGTTATTATTAAGAAATACTCAATCTTTTTAATATTTAGTAAATATATTATTAAAATATAAATACAATAATATCTCTAATGCTACTTTTTAAATTTAGTTTAAATATTTTTATAAATTACTTGATTAGTTTAACAAATAAGATTTTATATTATATATCTTTTATGATATAATAATAATTTTTAGAAATTTTATTTTAAAAAATTATTTCTTCTCTATCTTTTTCTTAATTATAGATCTTTAGAAAGATAATTTAAACATATCTAAAAATATTTTTTATAACATTTTTTTTATTAAAGAACTTTTAATTTTTTTTTCAAATGAATATGAAAAAAAAGTTCTTAATCATTTGATCATAAACCTTACCAATTTATTATATTAAAATTAATAGGATATTGTATCTTATTTTTCAATTATATAAATGCATTCTTTTTTTTTTTACATATTTTGTTTATTAATTACTCTACTTCTTTTTTCTTATATTCTTTTGAAAAAAATTATAGTTTCTTATTCTTCTTATTCTTAAAATATTAGAATCTTTAAATAAGTAAAAATAAATTAGTAATTTTATGAATTTAAATTTTTAGCTAGCAAAAAAAAAATTAGTAATTTTATAAGTTTAGAATCTCTAGCTAGATAAAAAAGAAGTTAGTAAATTAGATAATTTTTTAAAATTTCTAACTAAGTAAAAAAGCAATTAATAAACTTAAAATAGCAAAATTTTCAGTTCAGTTAGATAAGAAAAAGAATGATAAATAATATAGTAAAAAGGCATTCAAAAAGGCATACACTTTAAGTAGAAATTGTTCTTATCTTTTCTAAATTCTACTAAAATATATAAATAGAAAGCATTAACTTATTACTTTAATAATTTATTTGAATAAATTAACAAAAATAGATAACTTAAATAACCTTTTTTTATAATTTATATTTTAGAAAACTTTAGTCAGATTCAAAAAAATTAGTAATAGATAAATTATATACATAATTAGTATTTACTAATTCTGATTAATAAAAATATTTAAATGTTAAATAAAAGAAATCTGACAAGTATAACAAAGTTAAGTTAATATTACAATAATTTTATATAATAATATGTAAACTTTTTTTTAATTTTTTAGCAAAAGATTATGAAAAATAAAGAAGATTTAAATAAAAAAAGTAAGAAAAAAGTAATGAAAAAAGTAATGATAATAATAGGATTAATAAATCATCACAAAGCTGATCTTAATCCTAATTTGAAAAGGTAAAGAAAAAATTGAGCTTATTTATGTTAATATAATTAATGCAATAATAATTAATTTTTTTTTTTTTAATAAAAAATTTGATTTTAAGAACTATTATTTTTTTTTATTTAATTTAATTTTTTATTTATTTTTATTTTTAATTTTTTGATTTATAAATTTTTTATTTCAGTTATTTATTTTATTTTTTATACTTACAATTTTTTTATTTTTAATTTCTGATATATTTATAATTTTTTTTTTAACCACTGAGTTATGAGACAAAAAAAATAAAGATATAAAATTATAAAATTGTATTTGCAAATCTAAATGAATCTAATCCTTAGAAAAAATGCATAGGATATTCAAATCTTCGTTTGACAAAATAAATAAAAATTAAATAATTGAATATTCAAAACTAGGGATTTTGATATTCGAATATCGAAAATCGTTTCAAAAGAACACTTCCTCCCCTCCGAAAGAACCCTCCGCAAGGCACCTTAGGACGGAGAAAGAACGTTCCTAAAAAAAAAAATTAAATTAAAAGCAAAAACAAATAAGTTTAAACATATGGGAGATTTGTTATTAAAATCACGTTACGGATCATATGATTTACTTGTTGATTCAAAAATAAAATTATTTATTTTCAATCTAACTGTTCTGACGATAGTGATAATAATGACGTACTAAATTTAATTTTATTTAAATGAACAAAACAATCAGAATGGGGAATTTGACAAATTAGGAGGATAATAAAATTAATGAACTTTATTCGGAAATTTTACAATTTTTGGGGAATATATCAAAAGAAGTGGGTGTAACTGTATGTGGGCGCTAAACTTTCGTGCATACATAGTTATTTGAATGGGAAAATTCCCATCTCTTATAAAAAGGGGGGAGCGCACAGGCCGCAGATTTAAAACATTTTAGAAAATTAAAAAATAAGGAGCCTTGTGAAACGTATCTACATCCCTTGTCAAATCCCAAGTTCAACTTACTAACCCATATCGAGCAATTGATGAATTGGATATTCATTTAATGGTAAAAAAAAAGTAAATTGTACTTTGTTTTGGCGGCTTTTTTTTTGACAGAATCAGATTAGTTTAAAGTTGTTTTTTTAATAATACATATAGACCATTTGGATAAATAGGAGAATGAATGGGCCCCTTTTCGGATATCATAATAAAAGTTAAACGCATATAAGACTAACAAAAAAAATTCTTTTATTCGGATTATTCCTTTCCAAATACATACATAATTATCATTACAAAGATGGCTAATAATATAAGAGATTCTGGGAGGGCAAGAGGAAGGCCATTTAAACCAAGAGAGCCCTACACACAGCGTTTGCGTAAAATTCTTGAAGAATATCCTGATGGTTCACAAATCCTTCGTGAGATCCTTCAAAATTCTGACGATGCAAAGAGCTCCCATCAAATTTTTATTTTGGATCATAATACCTATTCGTCAAATAAATTATTCGAACCGGAATTGAACGGTTATAGCAGAACAAATTTGAAACTTGACAGATATCAAGGTCCCGCATTATTGGCATTAAATAATACTATTTTTGAGGAAAGGGATTTTCAATCATTGTTGAAATTGGCTGATAGTGAAAAACGAGATCAATTCGATAAAATCGGAGGTAAATAAATATTGCGCGCGGCTAAATTCCACATCATAAAATTTTTTTTTTATCGCATATTTTAAAATAATATTTTAACATGAAATTTTTAGTAATGGGAGTCGGTTTCAATTCAATTTATCATATTACCGATTCCCCTTCCTTCATTACCGGTGATAAATACGTTATTCTTGATCCGCATGAATGGTACTTTAGTGGTGGCGTTCAATTCGACTTTGTCGATGATAATTTGGCTCAAATGTATCCCGATCAGTTTGCTCCTTTTGTAATACCTTCAGTTAATATCTCGTATAACAGAACATATGAGGGAACCATATTTCGATATCCTCTCCGTACAAAACAAGATTCTATTGATTCGGATATCTCTAAAAAAGTTTATAGCCCTCAAGAAATCTTAGATACCTTTTATAATTTTTACAAAAACGAAAGTACTAATAGTATATTATTTTTAAAATATATTGAGAAAATTACTTTTTTTGAATTAAAACAAGGCGCTGCTGAACCAAACTTTCTATTTACAATTGAACTGACCAATGCTAATGAAGTACGAGAGCAACGTCGTCTGATAGCGGAGAATATTGTACCAATGATGAATTCATTAACATCAAAAGAACAAAGCAAAAAAGAATTAGTGACATCTTATGTCGCATCATTCGGTCGTCAAAGAGGGAATTCCGACATTCCCGACGAGAACTGTTCATGGCTGATTTTGAATTATCTTGATGACTTGCAAGAAACCGAAAAACATTTTAAAAACAAGTTCGAAAAAAACATAGCGGACTATAAGTTTGTCCCAAACGTCGGCTTGGCCGTTAATTTGAATGATTTGAATGCTGTGGGAAGATTATTTTGCTTCTTACCCCTTCCAATTTCCATGCCTTTTTCAATTTCTGTGAATGGATATTTCGCGGTATGAGTCAATAAAGTTTTTGATAATTTTTTTATTATTTATTTATTTTTTTTTTAATGTTTAACATCTTAATTCAATAGGTTAGTACCAACCGACGTTCTTTATGGACTGTTGCAGATAACGAAGATCTGGTAATTAATCTATTTCCTTCATAATATTTTAAACATGTATGCTATAAACGTTACAATTGAATACCGGATGTTAATTAAAATTATAGGCGGCTGATGCCATAGCACGTCTAAAAGTTTCGTGGAATCAATATTTATTCGAAAATGTCCTACCCAAAGCTTGGGTAAGATTTCTTCGCGAGCTACCGTTTAAAGTTCCTAAAATTCAATCCGGTGATATGTATAAATTTTGGCCAATATGTACGCATGATACGGGTAGCATGAGTAATTTTTGCAAGGATTTATTAAAAAACGTTATAGAAAATCTTGATGTTAAGGATAAAGTATTCGAAGGACCTTCTTTAACAAACTCATCCGTATTCGAAGGATCCGAATTTTATTGGTTATCACTTTCAAACGGCTTTTTTGATGGGTCGTCTAACGATGTGTCTAAAATAATTCAAAAGATTGGGTTTCCCGTAATATCAACTCCCCTTACTCATCATAGCATAATCGAATTCATAAAAACATCCAAACTTGAGCATTCCCTTACATTGCTTTCACCTTATAATGTTCGGGATTATTTAAAAAAAAATATTGATCGATGGCAAGATAAAATGTCAAGGTCGGACGTTTTACAAGTATTTAAGTACGTATTCACGGACAAAAATTTTGACAAATTGGAAGGATTTAAAATTATCCCACTCGCAAATGAGACGCTGGGTACTTTGACAAAATACAGCGATTCCTATATATATATTGGTCCAAACGATAACAGCACTGTAAATAAAAATGACGAATTTTATGTTTTCAAGGATCATTTGAACAGATTCATAGATAAGAACATTGATCCAGGATTATATAAAAGCTTTTACAGCATGACAGCTTCCACATGGAATCTGAACATTAAAGTTTTAGATGCATTGGATGTCATCGAGATGATCAAATTCACGCTGAAATCCGAAAATGTAGATTCCGAAGAGATGCAAATTTCAAAGCATTATGCATGGATTCATAAATTATGGGAAAACCTAAATTACAGGCGATGGGATTTGAAAGAGTTTGAAAACGTTCATTTAATCCCAACGAGTCGTAATACTCTTAGAAAGCTAAAAACTCCGAAAAAAGTCTTTTTAAATCATTCGACTACATATCTGAAAACGATATTCGAAAAATTTGGTGCGGTTTTCGTGGAAAGTAGATTTGAAAAGACTGCCGAATTTCCCGAGTAAGTATTCTTTGATTCGTAACCAATTTTTATCTAATGTTTTAAATAAACTAAATATCTTTTATTTTTTTTTCGTTAGATTATCTCCATACATTATTAAGCCTGATAATATGATATTAGTATTAAAATCTTTCCAAGCCGATACATCATATCCAAATAACTTGAATCACAAACTACAGGTTCATGAAGCAACGGCGCTCCTTGATCATTTATCTAATTATTTCCGAGTTAATTATAAGAATAGACACTTGTCAAAATTTGAAGAAGTTAATGAAGTTATTGAAGTTATTAAACACCTACCGATTTTTACCGAAGTTGATAATACTTCCAAAATTTCATTATTACCTGATTTATCCGAAAATGAGACAAAGTGGTTCCTTCTTCCTCTGTATGAAGAAAACTCATATGGTAGAATTATCTGTCCGAGTGATAAGGGAAGGTTTCTTAATTCAAGTTCACAAAATTTACGTTATATACTGGAAGATATGATCAAGATTCCTCGATTGGATTCAGATGACTATTGGCTAAATTATGTAATACCATTTCTCGAATCACAGCGACCAGCGGTCAGAGATGTTGTAATTGACAAACTTTTTGAACATGATAATTTGAAATCTTCACTTATGAATATTTCTTTCGTACCCATTGGCACATTTGGAATGTCGAAGAATCTTCAATTGCCTATCAACGTAAGGTTAGTTAAACCGTCAGATCTATTTGATCCCGAAGAGAAGGCATTAGTTGATCTGTTTTTTGAAGATGAACAATTCTTTCCCACCGGAAATTATGGGATTTCCAAAGAATTGCCTTCAAAGAAGTTTCTCTTAAATCTGAGATTATTAGGAATGAAATCAATCCTTTCTTCGAATGATGTAGTTTCGCGTATTCAAACTATCGTAGCGCGAAAGCAAGGTTCTAAGTTTCATGTAAATTCAATTCGTATCCACGCACTTAAACTTTTCAAGTATTTAGATGACAATTGGAGCAAATTAACCGAAAATGATGATCAAGAGTTCTTGAATGCCATTTTAGAAAACGAATGGATCCCAACCATCGACAAATCTGGGAACGAGATCTTCTCGAAGCCTCAAGATTGTTATTGTCAAAAAGTTAAATATTTGGTTTGTTTTGTCGCTCCAATATTTGAGTTTAACGCCAAGAATGAGGAATTCTCGAGCCTTTTGAAATGGA